TATGACCTACAAGGTCCCTTCCAACTCTGTTAATCTGTATAAATCTGTATAAATTTCTCTTGCCTCCTCTAATGATTTTCTGATGACCAGCCAGGAATTCTGTAGCTGGGCAACCCAGTCTTTTAAAGATGGAATGGGGGAGTGGGGTGGTGATGGTCAAGGGCAGCTCAGGCATGGGCCCAATGTCCTGTCCTCAGTTGGAAATTATCCACTGTGGAGCAGCATGCAGCCTATAGACATGGTGGATGAATAAGCCATTGTATGGGTAGAAGGGATCTTTTGGCAGGGCACGAAATGCACTTTTTTAGACAACAAACCAGTGATCACCCAAACTACTGTGTTTCCTGAGCTTTCTAGTAGCTCTACTATGAAGTCCATAGAAATTTCTTTTCAGGGGATGTTAGTTCTGTCACTGGTTGGAGGAGTCCTGGTGTTTATGGCCACATAACTTTTTTTTTTTATAAAAAAAGTTTTTTTTATTTTATAAACAAACAAACAATACATAATCAATCATTATATCTTCTGAATACATCTTTTAAGTCTTCTTTTTGCTCCTCCAATATTTATCATATCTTAATATTGTCATTCCCTTTATTATAACATTTCCCCCATTTTTCTTACTTCTCTATTAATACCTTAATCTATCTTTTAATTATATTAAAAGTTAGACAACCATTTTATCCCCACACAACCTTCTACCCCTCCTCCCCACCCCCACCCCCGACTTCCCAGAGCAAAAACAGGGTATAGCATTAAACTAAACATAAACTAAAATATACTAACTTGCTACAAGATTCAAAACTCCCTCACCCTCTTTAACTCCTCTTTTTAAAAATTGTTCATCAGCCTCCCCTTTTAAAATTCTAATTTAAACATTTTAAAACTTTCTTTAAAGCATATCTCTTTAAGAAAAAGAAAAAAAAGAAGATATTATTTTGCATCCATTCAATTTTAAATTAACCATTTTAGTACTTCATTAAGTTCTTTTTTTTTCTTTCTCTCAAAAAAAATACTTCAATAAAATATTCTTCAGAATATAACCTTAAAGATACTATTAATCCATTGAGTTTAGTTATTTCTAAGTCTTAAATTCATTCTTTAAAATATCAATTTCAAAACTTTCAGAAAATCATCCATTAACTTTAAAGTTAACCATTTTAATACCACAGTCATTTTTTAAAAAAGCTATCCATTTTTAGTTAAACATTTTTACTTAAACTTAAAAAAAGTGCTAATTTCAATAGACTTTTCAAATTTATTATTAAAATCCTCCCCAAAAGAAATTAATCTTCAATTCTTCCTTTCTTTCTATATTTTTTCCAATCCTTCTTCTTCAATAATACTCTCTCCTTCAACATTGCTCCTTCCCTGCTTTTATTTTCAAAAATTTTTGAATGTAGATTTGATACTGATGCATCTTTGAAAATCACTCTCTCCTTAAAGTTATCTCCTTCATTTTGAAAGCTCCATTTCTACTCTTCCTGCTATAATCAGTCACTTCCTCCCTTAAAAATTGATTCTGTCTATAAAACCAAGAATTGTCACGATAAAGTTTATCAGTCTGCAGGAAAGAGTCTATTTGCTGCTTTTCATTTAACTGCATAGAAGCCTCTGCCAAAACCTCCGTTTTCAATGTGCTAACTTCCATCGTGTTCCTGACAGCCTCTTTTCCCTGCTCCAAAGACAAGTTAGTTTGATTTTCTTGCTCTTTTCCAGCCAGCAAATCATTTTTGTTCTTCAGATTATAATTTTGAATAGTCCTTTCAATTGATTCCAGTATAGCAGAAGTATAGAAATTATAAGTTCTTGTAAAACCTCTACAGTCACAACTTGTGAATTTGCTGGCTCATATAGTAATGATCCTCCATCCTTGATGTCAGCCATATTTCAATTCCCAGTTTAAGTTTATTCAGCTATCAGGTCAATAAATCCAATAATTTTCCACACAATTTAGAAGTATAATGTAGTTGAGGTCAATACCATAGTCTTTTTCATTTCACTAGCACTTTAAATCTTTTTCTTGCCGCATAATCCGGTAGCTTTTACAATGTTGCAGCTTTAACGATCACTTTCACTTGTAAGTTTCGTTTTAAATGCCCTTAAGCGCCATCTTTTTTCCTTTTTCTTTTAAACGGAGTTAAAGTTTAATACTTGCATTTTCTGTTCTCCTGATTTGCTCTGCCAGCATCCAGATTCGAATTTTCTCATAGTCCTTAAAATTGCACTGCTGGTGTGGTCGCGACCGCTTGTTCTGCATAGAGCAGAATCGTCCCGGATCCGGAGCACTGAAGGGCTTTCAGGGAGCTCTCACCCTGCAAACCCCAGGCTTAAAAAAAAAGCCTGGGGGTCTAGGGGAGCTCTACCCAGACCCTTCTGCTCTTCTCTCCCCCTTTTTCCCTGGGGGAGAGTTTCGAGCCGCTAGAACAGCTGATTTTCGCTGTTCTAATGGCAAACGGAATCACGGGGCTGGAGCTCCTAAAGGAGCGTCCATTTGGGGAACGCGGAGCCACCGGAAGTCTATGGCCACATAACTTTGAATGTCTTTCTTAAGCGGCAGCCACCAGAACTTGCACTTAATCAGGTGTAACATTTTTACAAAACCAAAATGTCCTGCAGTCTTTGAATCATGGCTTTTCTCCAGGACTTGTAATCTTTGGCTTTTCAGAACATACAGCTTGGCCCCTACCCAGGCTAGGCCACCTTGCATTGTGCATTCATTTTTGTGAGATTGAACCATTTGTCTCCCTCTAGTGCTACTTTTAGAGTGTCTGTTAGAGTGTCCACTATGCCTTCCCCAATTTGGGGTTTTGCTTTCACCTGTGCTCAGGTGATGACTAGTGCCGCAAGCTGGTAAGACAGAATAACCAGTCTGACTATTCCCTGCTTGGAGCTGTTTTATTGGGGCATCCTGAATAGTGCATCAGCTACGAAATCCTTTCTCCCTGGGAGGTAGCAGAGCTTGAAGGTAAACCAATTAAAGTATTGAGTCTACTGAACTTCTTTGTGCGATAATCTCCGGGGCGTTTTTAGGGCTTCTAGGTTTTTGTGGTCAGTCCAAACTTCTAAAGGGCTCTTGCTCCCTTCCAGGCAATGTCTCCATGTTAAGAGTGCCCAGGGCACTGCATAAGCCTCGTTCTCCTAAACCACCTACTGCCATTCAGTATCAGTTCATTTCCTGGAGGTATACACACAGGTTGTAAGGCACCCTGGCAGTTCTTTGTAAAAGAACTGCCCCCCACTGCCACATTGCTAGCATCCACCTGAATAATAAATGGGATGTTAGGGTCTGAGTGTTTTAGCACTCGTTCGGTATTAAACAATTGTGCTGGGCTGTGGAAGCTTCTGCAGTCTCAGATCAATCTCCCACATTGCCTGCTGTGCTGGATGTGGTCACCCCATTGGTCACTAAGGCTGGACATGGCTGACTGTCTGGCGACAGCAAGGGTTCTGCGTGCCTTGAGGCTTTTGAAAGCCACCTCCATAAACTTGACTTGCTCCATCATCCAGTCAGCCTGGCCATGCTTTCCACCTGTCTCTTCCTCCTCCTCCTCCAGTTCTTTCAGTTCCATTCTCTGTTCTCATTGGTGGCTTCTGCAGCTTCCACAAGTAAAAGTCACCCCCGCAGGCTTCTCTTCCCAGTCCTCCTTCCTTCTGATGCCCAGGGACCACCTGGATCTTAGCAGATCATCACACATCTCCCTGTTTCTAGTCCTTTTGTAATGATCCAGCCTGCACAGAGGCTTGGACGAAGGCTCCCCCAGCATTCAATTTCTTCCTGGTCACTCTCTTGAGCCAACATCACATGCATGTTCATGATGGTAGAGGTGATGCTCTCAATTGCAGATTCCATTTAATGTCGGATGTGCCCCAGTCTAATCCCTTAGGGAAGTAAAATTCTCAACTCCATTTGGTTGAAGTGAAAAGGCACTTTTACTAAGAGATGCTGATTGCAATTAAGTCAAGTGGAATCTAAAATTCCCACATTCCAATACAGAACTATACCCCTGGTTTCCCATAACCTCCCCCACTCCCTGGTCCATCCATGTGTAGCCAATCCAGCGCTGCCCAGATGTTTTGGGAAATGCTGAGGTGTTTGGGTTGGTGAAATTCCACTCTCAGGGCAAACGACCTTGAAGATGCCAGCATGCCACTTCCAAAACCCTCTGTTCTTCTTCAACTGTCAATTCCCCCTCCCTCCCAATTTCTCATAATAATACAGCTTTATGGCCCATTTGTCCCTTCCCCCCACCTTTCCCAATTGATGGCAGAATGTCAGCAGGCATCAAGCCGAAGCTGGTGGATCTGACACATTGATAAACAGAAGCAAAATGCAACTGAATCATTTCCTCATAAGAAAAAGGTTTCGATCTTTGAGGTTAATACTTCTTATGATTTCTAATGTACTGTTATTTATAAATGTTAAAAAAGAGAAAAATAACAATTGTACCAGGGCAGATTGATTTCAGCACTGCTCATCTCTTACTATTTGTTTTCTATTCATTTTTACAGTACACTTTTATTTGCTAAAAATAATATACAGGTAGGACTCACTTAGTAATAACAATTGGTGTTTTCCATTGCTAAACGAAGCAGTCATTAAGCGTGATATTTGACCATACGAGTTAGCAACAGCAGTTATAGCAGTCCCCAATTACTTTTAGTTAAGTGAAGACTGTGTGCATTATTAAGTGTGGATCTCACATGATCATCATCATGACTTCTGACTTCCTGCAAACTTCCCAATTGACTTTGTCCGCTACTTTGCATTGCTACTCACATAGCAATGATATAGGTGGCTGTAAGTTAAAATGCCCTTTCTGAAAAAGTAACAAAACCTTGGAACTAAATCATTAAGCTTTCTGCAGTTGTTAGTAAACTGACTTTTCCAAACTTGCTAGAGTTATCCACCACAGTTGCATTTTTGGACCAAATCTCAGCTCTAAACTGAATTAGTACAATTAGTATTATTAATATAGCATTAGGAAAGCAACTCTAGTTACTTGTAAGTAGGTGTAGGGATTCCTCTGGCTCTGCAGTTCATTGACACTTTTGCATCTGGAGACTCTTCTGGGTATACCGTATCAATGGGCTGCTCTTCAAAAATTGGTCCATAACCTTTTAGTTCATCTGCAAATAGATGGCAAGGCAATTGAATAATGTTACCCAATTAGTACATATGAAATGCAGATACTTTAAACATTTCTAAATTCTTTTAGAGATGGAACATAGGAACAACCACAAGCTATAATTTCCAATTAATTTTATCTTGTCAGTATACTACCCATTAGAAAATAGTGTAAAGCAATTTCAGTTCCTTTTAGCCACATTAGCTTTCCATTGACACCGTCAACCATCCTGCCAATTATAGCTAAAGCTTATGGAGCATTGGTGACTTGTGCACTTTTATAAAAAGAATAGCAAGACAGAGAGTTCAAACCTCCCAGGTTATCCCTATAGCTTTCCTAAAGTCCACTGGACTGGGTCATGTAACAAAGCTGAAGCTGATAGATCAATTTCATTAGCAGTGTGCTTATTCTTCATACTCTGCCATCTGATTTTCTTTCTACCCTTCTTTTAAGGATAAAATGTTTTTAATTAATGTGTGGTTTTGTTTTCAAAATTGTTCAATTCTAGGGGAAAATTTTTTACAAAATACAGCTCAAAGCTAAGAGGAATTTCTAGAAGCTTTTTAAAATATTGAAACAATGCATAAAAGAGAAAGCAAATCTATACAATTTGATTTTGCTTAGCTTTCCATTTTCCAACCATTACTTTAGAACCATATTCTTGACTCTCCACAACACCTATTGCTGTATTCTTTATTTTGAATGAATATCTTCCCTAATGCCTTAATGCTTCCAGAACAAGCCCCAAAGGATATTTTAAGTAGCTACAGACAATTCATTAATAGCTATTCTATATTGAAAATGCACCTACTGAAAGCACTTATTTTCATACTCTTTTCCATCTAGTTCTATGTTTACAGTCCAAATGAAAGCTCAGTGCAAAATTTATGTAGCGGATTATGAATATGCAATAAATGCTATAAAATGAACATTGGATCTTACCTGAATGTTCGATCTATGTGCGCTGCAGGAGAGTCCAAGCAATGGGTTCAAGTTTAGCTTGGTTGGCCAGAGACTGAGTTGAATTTTCCTAGCCATGCCTCTTTCTCCCATGAGCCTTCAGTGTTTCGACGAAGAAGTCTGTAGAAGATGTAGCAATGATGATAGAAGAATGTCCACTATAACTAGGTGTTGGATGCTGGACCGCTACCTTAGGGCGGGGTTGGACTCTCCTGCAGTGCACATAGATTGAACATTCAGGTAAGATCCAATGTTCAATCTCCTGTGCGCTGCTTGGAGAGTCCAAGCAATGGGATATACCCAAGCTAAGTATCCCCAGGGTGGGAGTCCGAGCGGTCCAGGTGTCGTTCTCCTGGTAGAACGCAGGACTCTTCTGCCAGGACTCTTCTGCCAAACGAAGCCTCGGCTGAGGCAAAAACGTCCAACTTGTAATTTCTGATAAAGGTAGTGGGAGAAGCCCAAGTTGCGGCCCTGCAAATCTCCAATATGAAAGCCTGAGTAGCCCAGGCTGCTGTGGTAGCAGTGCTACGAATTGAATGTGCAGTGATGTTTCTGGGCACTGGAGTAGCTTGGTGTTCGTAAGCCATTGCGATGCAAGCTTTGATCCATCTCGCAATTGTAGATGGGGTAACTTTCTTGCCCATGGCAGTAGGCTGGAATGATACAAATAGTGCTTCAGACTTCCTGAATGAAGCGGTCCTGTCAATATATTTGCGAAGTGCCCTACGAACATCGAGCGTGTGCCAACGCCGTTCTCTAGGATGTGCTGGGTCAGGGTAAAAGTTAGGTAAAACCACCTCCTGTGCCCTATGAAACCAAAAATTGACTTTTGGTATGAAAGTCGGGTCCAACCTGAGGACCACCCTGTCGGAGTAAAAGATGCATAAATCTCTACGTACCGAGAGTGCCGCCAGTTCGGAGATCCTCCTTGCAGACGTGATTGCTATCAAGAAGGCGACCTTGAAGGTAAGTATTTTGAGATTGGCGGATCCTAAAGGCTCGAATGGAGCAAATGTGAGCGCTTGTAGGACGAGAGGCAAGTCCCAGGAAGGATACATATGGACTGGAGGAGGCCGTAAATTAGCAACACCTCGAAGAAAACTCCTCACCTTGCGGTGTTGAGAGAAAGGGATAGGACCCTCTCCATGCAGAATAGTCGCTAAGGTGGCCACTTGTCTGCGGAGCGTGTTGGCAGTAAGTCCCTGTTTGAATCCTGAGTGAAGGAAACTCAAGACGTCCAGAAGGGAAGCTGTCCTGGGAGGAATGTGCGATTTTCGGCACTAGCTAGAGAACGCTGACCAAGTGGCGTCATAAATCCTGGTAGTAGACGGACGACGAGAGGCCTGGATGACAGAAATGACTTCGCTCGAGAATCTGGAGTCCCTCAGGATTTCCCATTCAATCGCCAGACGGCCAGTTGGAGCCACTGGGGCTCGGGATGTTGCACTGCCCCCTGGCTTAGGACAATCCTGTCTGGCTGAATCCTCCACAGGTGGGACACTGACAGTGACACTAGGTCCGCAAACCATACCCTTCTGGGCCAGTGCGGAGCCACCAACAGAATTTCTGCCTGCTCGTCCAGAAGCTTCCAGATGACCCATGGTAGTAGAGGTGTCGGAGGAAAGGCTTATAGAAGGCCTCGAGGCCAGGGCGCCCGAAGGGTGTCGGTCACTTCTGCCCCTGCCGTCGGAAATCTGGAAAAGAACCGAGGTAGGTGAGTGTTCTTTGGTGTTGCAAATAGATCCACGCATGGTTGGCCGAACCTGGTTGTCAGTTGGTGAAACAGGTCTGGATGGAGACGCCATTCAGAGTGGTCAATGGTTGTTCGATTCAACCAGTCCGCCTGTTCATTGTGTGCTCCTGAAATATGTTCCGCCTGAAGGGAGAGCAGGTGTGATTCCGCCCAGAGGCTGAGGCTCGCTGCTTCGGACATCAGGTACTTGGACCGGGTGCCTCCCTGCCTGTTCACATGTGCCTTGGCAGTGACATTGACGGTTAACAGCAACACGTGCTGGTTGGTTAGCGAGAGGTGGAAGTGACGTAGAGCTAGGTGGGCAGCTCTGAGTTCCAACCAATTTATGTTGTGCAACAGATCCTGTGGTGACCATCTGCCCTGTGCCATCTGGGAACCCAGGTGAGCCCCCCAGCCGAATAGACTGGCATCTGAAGTTAGTGTTAGACATGGCGGTTCCTTGAAGAGACAGACTTTCTCTAGGGAAGGTGACATCCACCAGTTCAGGGAGTGGAGAACTTTTGGAGGCACCCTGACTCTTGTTGTGGAGTGACTGATACCTGCTCGTTGGCTTGGTAGGAGGAACCATTGTAAGGTCTGGGAATGTAACCTTGCCCAAGGAACGATGGCCAGACATGAAATCATTTTCCCTAGCAACTGGGGCAATACTGCGAGGGAGACAGAGCTGGCTGACCTGACCCAATGTATCAAGGCCCATATGCTGACTAGACGTTCTGGTGATAGAAAGACCTGGCAACTGACTGTGTCTATCCGGGCACCTAAATGAAGAATAGAATGGGATGGAATTAACTGGCTCTTTTCTAGATTTACTGAAAACCCGTGAAGTTGCAGAGCCTGAATAGTCTCTGACAAATCCTGTCTCGCCTGCCTGATGGATGAGGATTGAATCAAAATATCGTCTAGGTAACATTGAAGCCTGATTGGGCGAGCCCGCAGATGGGCTACCACCACGTCCAGGAGCTTTGTGAACGTCCTGGGGGCAGAGGACAGGCCGAATGGAAGGGCCCTGTATTGGAAGTGTTGCCCTGCGTAACAGAATCTGAGATATTTCCTGTGTGAAATCCGAATTGGTATGTGCAGGTAGGCTTCCTTTAGATCTATGGATGTAAGCAGATCCCCCTGTCTGATGCAATTTAGAATAGAGGTATTTGATGTGTTTGTTGAGTCTTTTTAGATCTAGTATTCCCCTGCAACCCCCCGATTTCTTGGGAACCAGAAAGAGGATCGAATAGAAACCGAGACCCTTCTGCGAGACAGGCACCGGTTCTATTGCCTGGATGGAAAGTAGATGAAGGATCTCGGCTTCCATCAGAGACCTTTTGGTGGCATCTCTGGGAAGAGTGCAAGAGATGAATCTCATTGGAGGGAGGGATGAAAACTCCAATGTGAGACCGAGCCGGACTGTTTGCAGAGCCCAGGCGTCGGTTGTGATGAGCTCCTATTGGGCTGAGAACCTCATGAGGCGGCCTCCAATGGGAATGTGTGACTGGGAGTCATTTGGACCTGCGGTAAGGTCTACCGCCGGCCAATCGAAAGGGTCTCCTAGACTGGGATTGTCTAGACCTGTCCCTGAACTGAGCCCTATCCTGGGATCGGTCTGAAGTTGGGGGGGTAAGTCCCCTGATAGGTTGGGGCGGAGTAACCGCCCTCCGCCCCATGAAAGGACTGCCTGCGATAATATGGAGAGTATCTCCTGTCTGTCCTCCTGTGAGACAGGGGAAGTACCTTCCTTTTATCCTTGGTCTCTACCAAAATGGGATCTAAAACCTCACCAAAAAGATTATTGCCCTGAAAAGGAGCAGACACCAATTTCCATTTGGATTTCATATCGGCTTGCCAATGGCGAAGCCATAATAATCGCCTGGAAGTCACGTTAGATGCCAGGGCCCTGGAAGCGAACTTAGCTGAATTAAGGGTTGCATCAGCAGAGTATTCTGCTGCAGCAATTAATTTGTTGATGTCCTGGTGTAATCTGACATCTCCGGGGGAGCCCTTGCCTGCATTTGACGCAGCCACAAGAGGGAGGTTCTATTAAAGAAGGAAGCTGCCGTGGTTGATCTGATCGCCCAGGCAGCTGCTTGATGTGTCTTACAAACTGACATCTCAGCTTTCCTATCCTCGGTCTTCAGCCCTTCTGCAGAGTTTGAGGGGAGAATATTGGAAGATGCTAGATTGGCAAAGGGAGTATCTATTGTAGGCAACTTAAGCATGTCCTCTACCTCCTGTTCTACAGTGTACATCTTTTTGTCTAATCCGCTGGGATTAGACAAGGATCCAGGTTGAAGCCATTGCTTCTTGATAATGTCTATGAATAATCTGGGAGAAGGAACAGCGTCCTGGGTAGTGACCGGTTCTGTAAATAATCAAGCATGGGGATCCTGCTCCGCCGAACGGTCAGATGCCCCAGCCACAACCCCTAGATTGGCAGTGGTTTTGGCCTTGTATAACAAGGTCTTGAACATGCTAGGGTTGAAAAGGCCAATGAAGGCTGGTTTGTCTGGAGATCAGCCTTCATCTTCAGAAAGATCATGATCTGCGAATTCTTCCTCCTCCCCAGTATAAGACCATTCACTGCCCTGAGAATCATGGGGTGAGTGGAGGGCCCGGGAATAAACCCTATCCTGGTGGGCCTGGTGTACATTGGGAGTGGTACCAGCTGAGGCGGGAGCAGGAATGCCCCTCCTAAGCAGGGCAGAGTCTATGCCCTGGGCAATGGTCTGAGCTAACATCTGGCAGAGTTCCTGAGAAAGAACAGGGGCCTGGTTTACCTCAGGGCGGAGCCCCGCCGCTGTAGGGGTGAAAGTAGCTGAGGGAGCTGACCTCCTAGGTACTGGAATGACTCCCTGATCAGATGAGCCCTGTTCTGATATGGGAATAACCTCCTCAGCACTCTCAATTAATTCAGTTGGAGGATCTGTGGTAATATCTGGAGACCAATTCAATCTATCTTCGTTTGAAGCAGAAGGAGGTGTATCCTGAATTGGAGGGATATTAGGCTCCAATAATATTAGATATTAGAACAATGACAAGGCCTAGGCCTGAGGAGGCTTCTGCCTGCTTTTTTTGCCTTTGCAAATTGTTTCTCTAAGGCTTTTTGCCTTCTTTCTGCATCCTTATCAACAGCTGTGGAAGAAGAGGCCTTGGATCTGGTGGAAGGCCCAGGCTGAGGCCCCATTGCTTTACTGTGATCTGAAGACTTAGCTCTCTTAGAAGCAGAAGAATGGGATGCAGTACTTTTGGAGTGATAGGAGCTGCGATCCGCCATCTTGGAATGACAAGAAAAAAAGGCAATTCAATCAGAAGAGCTTACTAGGACAATGATTATAATAATGATATTATTCCTCACTCCAGTATTGGTAAATATGGCGCCAAACTGATACAATAGTGTGTAAGCGCAATTTTCCACTGCTGCTAGGTATTAGGCATGAGACTGATCAATGACCAGCTCTAATAACGCTATGAGAGAAAGGCAGCAGTAATCAATGGTGCGGGACAGACACAACAATCCCCAAACCACAAATGGCAATAGCAGTAAATCTCCTTGCTGTTTCCGATAAAGAAAAACTGCTAATTAGCGATCCCATGATAGTTTCTGAGGCATTTGAGGCTTTTTGCTACGTTTCTGAGCTGTTAGGAGCCTAATTTGCCTTTAAAAGGATTGCCTCGGTTGTGCTGTTAATGGCGGCAATTAGGAACGGCACCTGAGGCAAGAGATTAGCTCCGGAGCTAATTAGTTCCACGGAGCTCCTGGCAGTGGGAAACACTTCAGCTGTTAGTGTTAAGTTTTAAGAGAAAAGGGAGAAAGACGGTTTCTTCTGTGGCTGGCAGAATATTTTAAAGAATTTTAAAGAAATTTTCTAAGACGGAGAAATTAAAGCAAGTCTCTTTAGGCTGACTGAGTTGAAACACTGAAGCCTCATGGGAGAAAGAGGCATGGCTAGGCAAATTCAACTCAGTCTCTTGCCAACCAAGCTAAACTTGAACCCATTGCTTGGACTCTCCAAGCAGCGCACAGGAGATTAACATTTTTCCCCTTGATCATCCTTCTCATACAAAGGTGTTGACAAGATCTGTAGGTACAATGCACATACTATCTTACTTAGTTTGTGGTGGTCTCAGCTCCATTAGTATATAATACTATAACAGAAACATCAAGGAAGCAATATGTTAACTCCTTCTTTATGAATCTGAAAGTTGCCAAGTTTAAAAAACACTAACCCTCTGGACTAATGAGTTAAAGAGCTGCCTCTAGACATTCATTTTAAAAGATTTTTAGAAACCTGCAGTTGAAAGTTCTTCATGTTTCCTTACCCTGAAGACCCAAACTGGTTTTCAGGGTAAGGAAATCCCAAACTGATTGCCCTTTTAACATTTCTCTTGACACTTCTCCAAAATGCACCCCCAAGAAGCCACATCTCTCTCCCTCCCTCCCTCTCTCTCTCTCTTTTACACACACACACACACACACACACACAAAATTTAAGCAAATTCCCTTTCTTGGAGCCTTTAGAATCGTAGGCTAGAAGGTACCTTGGAGGTCTTCTAGTTCAACTTTCTGCTCAAGGCAAAAGACCCAGAATGGGTCTCCCTCCCCGCTGTTAGCCTTATCTTCTCAGGCCAGGTGAGGAGTGGCTTGGAGGGGAGGAAAGAAGGGCCGGGCACAGGCATGCTATTCAGCTGGTTCGCCAAACTGCACAAAAAGTTAGCTACTGGTTCAACTGAATCAGTGCGAACTAGCTGAATCCCACCACTGATTAAAACTCTCCTGTTACAAAATAAAACAAAAGTCTTCTATATTCTAAGAAATTTGCATAAAACAATATTGTTGTGGCCTGTCAGCCACCAGCCCCTCCAGCAGCTGCATCAGATGAGGAGGAGGCATGGGAGTCAGGGCCAGCATCAGGCAATCAGAGAGCTCTAGGAAAAGGGAATGGAGCTGTCAGAGATAGAGACAGAGCCTGAGCCATCCATCAGTCCTCAGATGGAGAGTCAACAGCTCGCAGGTCTGGAGGTGGCTGATGAGGAAGAGGAGGAACAGCTGGGCCCAGTGCCTGATGCACGGATGCACAGAAGGCAGAGAAGAGGACAGCAACGTGAATCTATGGGATGGTCCTTGGAATGGAAGAGCCACTGCTGCTAGCGAAGCCCCACCCTAGTTCTGGGGATAAAAGGCAGGGGGCAGAGATGAATAGATATCACAGACATCTATTCATCTCCCTGCCAGTCAGCCACTGATAGCCTGCACTTCCTAATCCTGTCTGGAAATTATCAGAATTCTTCTTGGAATATACAGCAACTTCTCAGCATGTGTGTGTGTGCCTCTGTTGCTGGAAGAAAGCGAGCACACTTTCCAGGACTTTCTTTGCAAGTGTGGGAAGAGA